GGGGGGGGGGGGGGTAGGTAAAAATCAAAGGGTTGCAGAGCGTTTTCGAATTAGTTTTGTTAAAAAATTCAAAGAAACAGAAGCAGGAGAGGTTAGGAGATGAGAGGATGCTATAGGGGAAAACAAAATATGAGAACAGAAGATAAACGAAAAGGAAAAGAAAAGTGGAGAGGATATGAGAAAAATTGAGAAAGTGCGTGCAGGAAAGGACATGAGACATCAGAAACCCAGGAGAGAATTCGAGAGGCGAGGGGTGGATAATAGATGTTAAACGGGAAGAGAGGGTAGGGGAGGTTAGGGAAATGTCAGAGGGCTGCAGAACGTTTTGAAATCAGTTTTGTTAAGCAATTCAAAAGATGAGAGGATAGGCTTGGAGAAAACAAAAGAGAGACATGGGGATAATAAAGTGCAAGACATGATAGGAAACAGGAGAGAGAAGCAAGGAGAGAGAAAATTATTACGTTTTCCCAGGTTCATATGAACTCAGCAGAACACTACCTCAAAAAACCAAGAAAATGAAAAGTGAACTAACTATAATTAGGTGCTAATTAGGTGCTAATTAAGTTCCCTATTCCCTAATTCAATGCTCTTTTTTTTTAAAATTATTACATGTTCTGCCAGGTGCATATGAACTCATCAGAGCACTACCTCAAAAATCCAAGAAAATCAAAAGTGAACTAACTATAATTAGGTGCTAAGTAGGTGCTAAGTAGGTGCTAATTAAGTGCCCTATTCCCGAATTAAATGCTCCTTTTTTTAAAAATTATTACATGTTTCCCAGGTTCATATGAACTCATCAGAGCACTACCTCTATAAACCAAAAAAATGAAAAGTGAACTACCTATAATTAGGTGCTAATTAAGTGCCCTATTCCCTAATTAAATGCTCTTTTTTTTTTTAAAATTATTACATGTTCTGCCAGGTGCATATGAACTCATCAGAGCACTACCTCAAAAAAACAAGAAAATGAAATGTGAACTAACTATAATTAGATGCTAATTAGGTGCTAATTAAGTGCCCTATTCCCGAATTAAATGCTCCTTTTTTTAAAAATTATTACATGTTTTCCCAGGTTCATATGAACTCATCAGAGCACTACTCGGAGCACTACCTCAAAAAACCAAGAAAATGAAAAGTGAACTAACTATAATTAGGTGCTAATTAATGCCCTATTCCCGAATTAAATGCTCCTTTTTTTAAAAAATTATTACATGTTTTGCCAGGTTCATATGAACTCAGCAGAACACTACCTTTAAAACCCAAGAAAATGAAAAGTGAACTAACTATAATTAAGTGCTAATTAGGTGCTAATTAAGTGCCCTATTCCCGAATTAAATGCTCCTTTTTTTTAAAAAGTATTACATGTTCTGCCAGGTGCATATGAACTCATCAGAACACTACCTTAAAAAACCAAGGAAATGAAAAGTGAACTAACTATAATTAGGTGCTAATTAAGTGCCCTATCTCCGAATTAAATGCTCCTTTTTTTTAAATTATTACATGATCTGCCAGGTTCATACGAACTCAGCAGAGCACTACCTCAAAAAACCAAGAAAATGAAAAGTGAACTAACTATAATTAGGTGCTAATTAATTGCCATATTCCCGAATTAATTGCTCCTTTTTTTTTAAATTATTACGTGATCTGCCAGGTTCATATGAACTCAGCAAAGCACTACCTTAAAAAACGCAAGAAAATTAAAAGTGAACTAACTATAATTAGGTGCTAATTAAGTGCCCTATCCCCGAATTAAATGCTCCTTTTTTTTAAATTATTACATGATCTGCCAGGTTCATATGAACTCATCAGAGCACTATCTTAAAAACCCAAGAAAATAAAAAGTGAACTAATTATAATTAGGTGCTGATTAAGTGCCCTATCCCCGAATTAAATGCTCCTTTTTTTTAAATTATTACATGATCTGCCAGGTTCATATGAACTCATCAGAGCACTATCTTAAAAACCCAAGAAAATAAAAAGTGAACTAATTATAATTAGGTGCTGATTAAGTGCCCTATCCCCGAATTAAATGCTCCTTTTTTTTTAATTATTACATGTTCTGCCAGGTTCATATGAACTCAGCAGAGCACTGCCTCAAAAAACCAAGAAAATGAAAAGTGAACTAATTATAATTAGGTGCTGATTAAGTGCCCTATCCCTGAATTAAATGCTGCTTTTTTTAAATTATTACATGTTCTGCCAGGTTCATATGAACTCAGCAAAGCACTACCTTAAAAAACGCAAGAAAATTAAAAGTGAACTAACTATAATTAG